GGTGATGGGGAGGTTCGGGTAGAGCCGGGCAGAGGCCTGGGCTGAGTGACTCAGCGGGTAAGGTTAAGCTGGTGTCGTTTAAACGGACGTTTTAACAGGTTTTTGTGTATGGTTTAGGGAGAAATGAGCATGCCAGAAAGCAAACTTCCAACAGTTCATTAATCTTGCTTTCCATTCCTTGCTGACTCCTGAACTGGTGCTCCTTCTTCCTCACCACTGTGTAGATGCTGGAGCGAGCGACATCTTCCCAGTGCCTTCAGCCCACCACCACGTTGCTCGTGCCGCCTGTCCAGTAGAAGGAAAACACCAGGAACCATGCAGTCTTCTGCCACCCCCCTTCCAATTCCGTTAAAATTACTATTAATATTTTGCTTTCATAGCCTCACAGATGAGAAGGAGCTTGTTTCTTCTCTTGTGTTGCTCTGATCATTGTTTACCTTTAGACTCCCATGTAAGAAGTTAAGATTTGGACTTGCTCTGTCCTTTTTGTATCCTGTCTTTTGGGAAAAATGCTAACAGCCTCTGAGGCCTCTGTGGGTAAGATTACAGCTTTTCACTTTCTTAAAGGTGAAATTTGGTGAAGATTTCTGGTATTTATTTGTTAAATATACAGCTTGTAGAAATCTGCCATTCCTATACTAGAAATTATCAAAGGAAAAGAAAGTTGCTTTTAGGGGAGACCTGGGCATAATGAAATACACTTCGTGATACCTGAGGGGCTCTTACCGACCAAGTAGGAAGACATTTCAGTTTGGTACACTACTTTTCTAGAATGTAGTGATTGAGACTTGTAGGTCACAAGTCATAACATATGAATCGGGAGAACGTTATAGGTGTGTCCACACGAGGAGGTCGGTGTCCAGCGTGGGCTGTTTTTTAGGGGCATCCTGTTAGGGCACGTAGAACTGTTAGAACTGATAGGACAATTAACAGCTTAGGAATCTGGTGTTAAGAGGTTTCTATAAATGAATCACCAATTTAAGTCTGGCTAAGTACTAAAGCAACTGAAAATTATCCTGTGCTAAATGCTTTGTTTCTTATATGAAGCCAGACCTGTATGCTTTTTGGTGGCTTAAGGAACTACTCTTAGCAGAACGATTGCTACAATTGATAACACGTCTGAAAGAACAGAAGACCAGGTTTACAAAGTGGCAAAGGCTGACTCCAGAATATGTCTGCCTCAGAAGTGATGCCTGTATATGAAGACTGATGTATGCTTGAAAAAAAATAGTTCCTGTTCACAGTGCTTTAAAATAAACTTAATAAAAAGTAGTGCATTTGATAAACAGCATATACAGATTTGTACAAAGCTACATAAATAAAAATATTTCTGTAAAATATACAGGAGATTTTCATAATGGACAAAATCCCTAAATACTTTTGCATTTCGACTGCATGTCAACGTTTCATACCACTGTTGAGAAAGGAAGTCTAATGTTATTTGTATTACAGCTAGAACCTCAGGTTAATTTTGCCACTGCTGTATAAGTGCTGGTTTCTTCTACCTTTTGGACTAGTCTGGTTACTGTTACAGAGTTTTCTGTCTTTTTTAACCATATTCTTTATCAGAGCACTAGAATACAAGAGATTGTTCTAACTACACCACAGACAGAACACCACGGACAGAGGCTTAATGATTTGGAAAAATTAACATGAACAAGATACTAAAAAGCAAAAATCCTCTAGCATTTTGCTGAAAACCTCAAGCAGGAAATGTTTGTTTTTCCCGTCAAGGTTGGATGACTGCATTTTGTCAAGTCTTCTTTTTGGTATTCTTCTCTTTGAACAATTTTACAGGGCTCACTTCAGAAGTGTAATGAAGTGTCATGTCTTGCTAATAACAATAAATAAGAACATGGAAATGAAAAGCTAGATAAATTTAGCTGAGGTACAGTCTGAATGGTAGTGCTGCTATCAGCAGCCACCATTCCAACCCACAAAGTTGCTCTTCTCCATGTAAGATTTTTTAATTGGCATAAAATGTAATACCTTTTTTTTAGTTTTGTTGCAAATGAGACAAATTCATGGTTCTGGAAACCCACAGAATTAATAGAAACCTGAATTAATGAAGTTCTTTGTGCATGATGGGAATGAAGCTGCTAAGGATTTTGCTATGAAGGTATATGCACTTACTGGTTTACATTGGTTTTTTAGTATGAACTAATATAGAATGAATGAATTTACAGTAGATTTTCAAAACCTTTCTTAATTAGAGCCAAAATATGATTATTTAAAACTTTATACCAGGGCCTTGACTGCGAAAAACACTGTAAGCCTTCTGAAGAGCATTCCTATTATCTTTGTTTAGCTGTTTGTTTATAAACTAAAAATAGGAGGAAAAGAATAAATAGTTTTAGATATACAACCATGGGAAATGATTAAAGAGGGAAAGAACAAAGAAAATAGATCATATTAACAAGTAGGTCTGGGTAGGTCTGGACACATAGCCAAAAGACACAAAGGAGCAGATAGAAGCAGCGACACACAGAGAAACAAAGCAGAGTTAGGACTTAAGTGCAAATCCCTTGTGAACGTATTTATATCTTGGACCTTCACAAAACAAGCTTCATAATTTCAGTTACACATCTTTTTCTCTCTTACCCTGTTACTGATTAAAGCAGGACATGTAGTATCCACCCTTTCA